TCCAAAACACTGTAATAAAGTATTTTTGTATTGAGTACTTTTCGATTTATAAGGCTTAAAATAATATCGTAATTTTACATAAACTATAAAATATCTAATAAAATATTTATTTTTTGATTATCTTACCTTGATACTTTTATGTACAAATAATGAGAGGAATAAATTAGTGTAAAAAAAACACACAGTTGTTTTTAAGAAAAAATATGTAATTGTTAATTGCAAATTACATATTTTTTTCTTCGGAACAATTATGTGTTTTTTTTTACACCAATTGATTGCTCTCATTATTTTGTACATAAAAGTATTAAGGTAAGATAATCAAGAAATAANTCATACAGCGTATATAAAACATTCTTACTTATTCATAATTAGATGTTTAGATGGAGCAAAGTTAAACATGACATTTCGAAATCGATAAGATGATAATCGCTTTACAAAAGGTTAATTTATGCAATTTTTTCTAGTTGCAACAAGTTCTACAAGTTTTATGAATATGATTATTTCAATATATGTAAATATGATTAATATGAATATTGTAAATATTATTTCTCTTCTCTGACATTGAATTAAGTAATACATCTAGTGTAATATTATCGACTATAAACTTACTTTACCAAGAAAAACTTTATTCCTATCTTACAAATTATTATCATATTAAATGACTCTACATCTTATATTGAAACCACATTAATCGGCTTTCCAAGAAACTTCTAATTAAAAATTTTTTACAGAATAAATCAAAATTATATACAGAGATGCAGAGATCTGTGGAAAAATAATAATAGCAATAAATACAATGAATTGGAAGAAGAAATAAAATTAAGATAGGTTCAAATCAGAAAACGCAATTGATTTAAACGATTTCAATTATAGCATATAATATGTTGTGTTCTTATGTATATAAAAATATTTTGAGGTTACGTGAGAAATAACCAAAAATAATTGGTCTATATAAAGAAATTGATTAAAATAGAAAATCACAGAAAATTTTTATTCAGTCTCCCTATAAAATAATGTAGTAGCAAATATAAGTGTTACATATAACAATTAATTACATGAAAATTTCACAATGCAGATCAAAAAGAGGAAGAAAAATAAAAAGTGACCAGTGAAATAAAATTTCCTTAAATATATTATTTTTTTATATACATATTTTTTCCAAAATAATCTGTAATTTCACATTAAATGACAAAAACATATTATATATTCAACAAAAAATATTATATATTTCTGACTTTTTTTCATTATATTTATAACAGTGTTTCCAATCTGTTTCCAATCGATATTTTTAGTGTCAGTTTTTTTGCCACTTACATAACGATCATCGATTAATAGAAGATAGAAGACGTAATAAAGAGTACGTTCAATATAAATTCCGCAATTTGCACTGAGGACAGTAGTTTTCGATTGTGCTGTGCTCACTTCATATCAGAAATATGTCATCGCGGAACTCATCTATTGTGCTAGTTGGATAAATATTAATACTGTATGTTATAAATAATTTTATTTTTTAACAAGTATTTGATATTGATTGATTTGACAATATAAATATATATATAACACAGATTTCTACATATTATATCTAGACCGCTAACAAACAGCTATGACTCATACGAAATATAGAACATGACCATTTACAATTGGTCAAATTGTTATCAAATATCGCAGAATTCGATATGACATGTCACTTGATAAAATCAAATAAGATATGATAATAAAAACATGTACATTTAAAACACTTTAAAGTAAAAATAAAATAAGAAATAACATTTAAAAAACAGCAATTTCGATTATATTTAACATAATACAAATTATCTTGAAATTTTTTAAATCACATAAATAAATAAATTTCTCCTTCATCCGCCGTATATGAAATCAAATATCAAAAATAGAAAAGCAAATTCTCATTTATACTAATTATTTGAAATGTTTAAATAAAGAAAACATTTTAGCATAAATATTTTGCAAGTAAAATGAGAATGTGCATTAGACTAAACACTGTTCTAATAATATTTTAAAATTTCTTTAAATGATAAAATCAAGACATAGAAAAAAATAAAACAGAGAGAATACAAACTAAAAATTTAAATTTCATTTATAATTATTTAGAAACAATAGAAAAAAGTAAAATAGTCATTATAATTAAAACTTATCAAACGAACAATTGTTTTCTGTTTTATATCTATCTTAGTTTTATTCTTTGTAACAATTAGTTCAATAATTTATTATGAGCTTCAATTATAGTACTAATCAGTTTTTTTATACAAACTTTTAGTTTAAGCTCTTCTTCTTTAAACAGAACATATCTAATATTTAAAAAATATTTTTATTAAAACTAAATTTCTTGCGTACACATAAACATGGATTTATTTATTTTATTACTTTTCAAATATTTTATGATAAACACTCACATTCACTCACATTTTTAAAAATAAAACAATTAATATTAACAAACAATATTCATAACGATCTTAAGATGCTCTCTATTTTAACAATAAGTGCAAAATTCATCGATGTTTAATATATATTATTACATATTATGTAACTTGCATAATTCTTTTCATTATAATCATATCTCTTTCTATGATTTAGTGAAATTTTCTCCTCTTATCTTTTCATTTCTTTTCTCCGAAATTATCCGTGATCGATCTATTCGTTACCCTTCTCTGGCATTATAAATACATTTTTCTATGCAATTTCTATTAGTATAGTTTTACATAATTGCACACAATACTATAACCAAACCGATGCACGAGATAGTAATTTTACATGGAAATAAATTGCACTAGTACGTATATAGTGAAATGATAGGAGATGAAGCCAAACGAGACAGCAAAAGAAAAAAAAGAAAAAATTGGAAGTATAAAAAAATAACAATAAGTAACAATAAAACAATTCATCAGACATCACAGCAACATAAGATGCTTTTGCCTGTCTTCTGCATCTTTTTCCATAATGTTCATTAATTAAAATTTATATTATTTATATTATTTATATCATTAATTAAAATTAATGAAATTTCTTTTGCAACTCTTCTTCCAATCAGAATAAAGAATTAGATAAAGAAGTTTTGCAATTTTTAAAGTACATTTAAATTAAACATAGATTGTTCAAAATCAAACGAAATATCCGACCGCCAATTAACGCGAATAATTATTGGCGCAGTAGATTTCGCGTGTAGTAGATAGCGCCCGCTCCGAGACCGCGCGGACCGCTTCGCTGTGAATTCGAATCTCAGCCGACTCGGAAAAATAACGAACACGAGCGACCGCTCACTTTCGAAAAGATTCTCTGTTTTTTTCGATTCAACTCAAAACTAATTTTTCATCGTTCGAGAATCTTTCAAAGAACGGTATAAAACTACGCACCCGATGCCGTATCCATCACTTCAAATTTTCCGCCAGTCTAAAACCGCGCTGTACGAGAAACAACGAGTAATAGGTTTTCGCTTTTTTCGATTTTAATAGTCCTCATTGCACTGAATCGACTATTTCGGTACTTGCAAGGCAGTGGCCTGCTTGCATAGCATTTGTTCGCCGCTTTCCTTCTTTTGCAAATTACATTTTTTTTGTACTCTTTTGTGTGTGGAGCAAATATAGTCAAGTAATTCTTTGTCTTCTCTTCCACCTTTTGATTAAACTACCCGGATCACAGGTATATATTCGTACATAGATATAGCAACATTATAATTAATATTAACCTATCAATAATCTATAATTGTAAAATAATATAAATATTTTATTCTCTTTTCAACATATGAATATGTACATATACATTAAATTGATGCACGTATTTCTAATTGCAAAAATATCTTTAATTCAATTTTTAATTCATTTTGTTTTACCTCATTAAATGAAAAAAAAATTCAATCATATATATATAATTTTAAGTATAATCAGTCGATAAGCGACTGCCACGAACAGTTAAAACGAACAGTTAAACAGTGCGTATGTATGGATGTAAATTAATATTAATTTTAACATAATTTTTTAATTCATATTAGTTGTATTGTTTTTAAAGTTATATGTTATAATTATCTTCATTAATATTAACATTTCGATAAAGAAAACGATGAAAATAATATATTCATAATTATTATACATATGGATAACATATGTAATAATTTTAGATTGCGCCCTTTAATTTTGTGAAGGACAATAAACACCACCATAAAGATGATTAAATTAGAAATGCCTTCATTTAAAGAAATATTAAAAGATACTGGAGGAAACGAACAACTTCTAGAAGAGCTACTGATTAAACTTCGACAATGGTTGAAGCAGCAAATTCATCTTCCTGAAGGTTTGCATTTTTAAATTTAAAGAAAAAAAAGTAAGATCTTATTAGTCAATTTATTACATATCATCTTCAAATCTAAAGAGCATATTTCGTAAATGTACTGATAAAAATATAATTAAAATATATATACACATAATTTATATAAAAGGAAAAATTATGCGCGAAGAATTAGTTGATCAGAAATTTAATATTAAATATTTAAGAAACAATATTTTCTCTCTTAGTTTATTATAATAAATACATATTATATGTTATGAATCGTCCCCTATCTCCTGAATTATAACCGACTAACAATTCACATACAAGATCAATATAGATATAAAATGGCAACTATTTTAAAATTAATATTAATATGTACATTTATATTTATGTCACAAATATATATTTTACTGTATGTAATATAAAAAAAATATTAATTTTTATTATATCTGGTATACGTATATAACTTTTGTGCGCATAATTTCCACAAACTGAATTATTTTATTGCTTTTCCAAATCTCATAGCTACGTGTTTAATTATTAATAATTCACAAAATTAATATGTTACATCTTTGTAATATATATTGACAAATATAATAGGATTCCAACCTATTTGTTTATATTTATTTATGATTTCTTTCATTCATGAAATCTTATGCATATCGTATGTAATAATCAACATTATTTCATACTTCACAGATATCTCTGAAAAACGATTAAGTTCTACATTTACAGTGCAAAATTTAATTTAGAAAAAGTTAAGAAACGTTTGGATTTGCATTATACTCTTCGTAATCTAATTCCGGAGGTTTTCACAACTCGTGACCCATTGGCCGACTGTGTGCTTAAAGTAAATACATATGCGTAAGTCTTTAAATAACACTTTGAAGTTGTCGGATTCTTGCATAATATATTAATATTTAAAAATTTTTTTAAATCATAAAAACATTTTATATCACTAGAAGTATTAATCGCAATTTTATATAATAGTATAATATAATGATATACACACAAGTATAATTATATCTCGTATAATTATATATCGTAATTATTATACATAGTTAATTTTTTGCTCAATCATTTAAGATCTATTATTTTTGATTCAAGAAAAAAAAGAAGAGAAAAAAATAAAACTCATAGAGATATTGTTACAAATATTTCTTTATTTCTTTTAGACAATTTGTAGCCCTACCAATATTAACACCAGAAAATTATAGAATCTCTATGGTACGGTTGTTACATACCGACATTTCTGTATTGGATGTATATGATGCTATGAAGTACGTATATCTACAAGTTAAACGTAATATATATAATATGTGCAAACAAAACAGTATTATACGTGCACAGTATAACAAACAAACAAACAATATTAATGCAAAAGGAAATTTTTTAATTTTATAAAAAAATATTTTATATAAATACTTTTTTTACACCTATTTCTCTTGCCGTGTATGCGAGCATGAATATATTATATATTCTTATATTTTTTTTAATTTATGAATTATTGAATCTTATCATGCATTTCCACGATCGTACATAACTATGAAAGAATTTATGCGCAAGTCACGAGATGTTGTAAAAGCACACTCAAAAAACGTTATATTTAGGATAATATAATATAATATTATAAAAAGATATATAAATTAAAAGGGAGGACACGCACGGATATAAAAACACAATAATTAACAATAATTAACGATGGAAAGAAGAAGAAAGGAAGAAAGAAATTGAGCTATATGTAACATTTTACAAGCTTTTTATATTATGATTCACGCGATGCTCTGATTTACTGACGAAATTATTATGTAACATTAGGTAAAGCGATTTCGATTTCACAGGGTCGCGCTATCCAGCTGATCCAATCACAAATCGATCTTTCGGTTTATTCTGCACGATCTGTAAAATCTTCTCTCTCTCTCTTCCCTCTCTCTCTTTCTTTGCTCCCCCCCCTCTCTTTTTGCGTAAGTTAAATATGCAAGTCCTTTTTTCTTGTGCTTGCTATTATCGATAATGAGATAGAAACAAGATACCTTCACGCCCTACTTTTTCCTCTAGTCTACTACGATTCCACTACCCTCACAGTACACATCGAAAGGAAAAGCTAAAATCAATAACTTCGATAAAATGAGATAAAAAAGGAAATGCAGAAAAAATTGTTGGCCTTTTTTTTCGTGCGGATTCTTATACAACATCTTGAGATTAGATAATTTTATATTTTTTATTAAATGAAGCAACTGGGCAACAAATTATTTAATTATTTAATAGACAATATTATTTAATAGATTTGATGGATGATAATTGATTGTTATTATATATATATATATATATATATATATATATACACCTATATACCTACATACATATACACATATACCAAAATATAAATATTATACAAATTTTTATTCATTTTTGTAAAAATATCAAGATAAAATCAATAAAAATATACTATTTTTTTAAATATTACAGATATTGCTCCATGATAATGGAGACACGCATAGAGGAAGATATAGTTAATTCCGAAATTATAATTTGCGATTGTACCAATTTGACTTTCGGTCATGTATTGAAGTGTACACCAGTTGCAGTAAAAAAACTCGACATTCTTTTGGTATTTAAGAAAAAAATTTCTTATATGTATATACTATACATATAATATATACTTTACAAAAATTAATACATATAATTATACTTTACAAGAATTAATTTTTATTATTCAATCTATATAGGAATCATACGGTCCAAGAATGAAAGCAATTCATATGATAAATATACCAATTTTTTTTGATGTCTTATTGACAGTAGTTAAATCAATAATGAAGGCAAAACTTATTAACCGAGTATGTTAACCGAATATAATTTAAAACTAGGAACTTTGTATTTCATGTGTATATGGATTGGAATAATTATACAGTTTTAACTGCAATTATAATATTTTAGATACATCTTCATACGTCCGGAATAGAATCAATATATGGGATTATACCAAGATCTCTTTTACCAGTAGAATATGGCGGTGAACAACCATCACTGAATATTTTATCAGGTACAATATTTTTTACTTCTTTAAAAATATGTTTTTTTATCAGTGACTTTATTTCGGTTTTAAATATTTAAAACGAAATGTTAAAAATAAATGATAACATTTTCACTTGAATATTAATCAATATGTAATAAAAAATATTATCTCTTTTTAATTTGCTCATGTAGCTTAACAATAATTATTTTATTTTCACAAAAAATTCTTTTAATTAAATATCTAAACCTAAGAATTCCTTTAATTATTTTATATGTATTATATGTGTGTATATATTGTATATGTATATTTAAAACATTTTTTCTTGTATACAAATAAATATATTCATTATATATTTAGAATGTAAAACATATACTAAAAGATGTTAAAATTTCTTTGATATTATTTCAGATATGTGGAAAGCAAAATTGATAGAACGAAGAGAATGGTTCCTGAAGGAAGAAAAAGTTAAAGTTAATGAATCTCTCCGATCAAATTCTGTAATAAACCCGGACGATCTATTCGGAGTTTCTGGAACATTTCGAAAATTAGACATTGATTAACGTGAATGTTATTTTAAAGATATAGATAATAAGATTTATGTTATCGGATATATACATACAGATATATGCACACATTATAAATAGTTATATGTAATGTAAGGAATTCTTAAAAATATTAATATTTATAAAATAAAATAAATTTTATATTGACATTGTACGTAAAAAATAAAAATTATGGCATACAAGTAAGAGATTATTTAGGCATTATCATAATAAATGATAAGTATATGACAAATTATACAAAAAAATGCACTGAAAAAAGACAATAATTGCATAATAAAAAAAATTATAGTTGAGATTCCTATTTTCAAAATTATTACTACTATGACATTGATAATAATAACCTTGTGCATAGTAATAATAACTTTAAATATAATTGCCACTAAAAATATATTTATATAATTTATATATATTTATGATAATTATATTTTTAGAAGCAATTATATTTAAAGTTATTATTACTAATATATATTGTATATGTGTGTGAGTGTGTGTGTGTGTGTGTGTGTGTGTGTGTGTGTAATCATTGTAATCTTATATGATATACAAATTGTTATTGCAATATTTTTAATAATTATTATACATCTTTTTTTTCTCTTAAAGAAACTCTTCTTCTTCTTCTTTAAAAACCCATGTTTGAAAAGCATCATTTAGCTATAAAATAAAATAATCCCCTTACATATTATTTTTAACAGTTAAATATTGAATTTTGTAATTATAAATTATTTTACTATCAGTTGTCGTGATTGCGAAACACACAAACGCTCGATAAAACACGATTGAACATATAATTCTAAAACTATCGATGCTGTCGACTATATTTCGAATGTGAGACAAGGGCAGCATTGTCGAGAGTGAAAGGGGATTGTATGTTATAGGTATGTTCAAGTCCTGAGGGAGTAGACAGTGAGGTCAGAAGCACGATAATGGGGATAATAAATGGTCTCGGACCGCTCTTTGCAATTCACCCTTGGCCCGTTGAAACCTTTCGAAGGACATGTACCATGCTGAAGCCGCAATTTTCACATATATATCAGCTTTTATTAATATATGATACTATCAATTTGTTGCTGCATGTAAAGTCGCGCATAAACGTATAAAACTTATAATATCATTTCTTACAGAATATTAAAAAAGTAAACAGTAAATTATACAATATTAATAAATGTACAATATTAATAATAATATTAATAACAATAACAATATTACTTTAAAATTAATTCATATATGCGATAATTATGTATATAAATAAATCATCTTTTATTTATAATATAATACATTTATGATACATTTATATATTTAAAGCAGGTGTTATGAAATGGATAATTAATTTGAATCTCTTATATATTTTGATATTCATTAAAATAAATTTATATTTCCTAAAAAAAAAATCAAAATTTCACAAAATACTCATACATAACATTTTTTTAATGCTACATAAATATGCAACGAAAATCACATATACAGTAAACAACACTTACTGTATTATATACACATTATTCTATATTTCATTGTATAATAAAGACTTTTTCAAATTATAACTTTAAGAAATGAATACTGTTTTGCTACAGAATTAATAGCTAGAAATCAATAGTCATTGTGTCTCTGCAAAGCATTATCTCGTTTACAAAAGAACAAAGGCTGCTGCGAATGGCTGAAGAGTCGGATTATCACACAATCTGTACGTACTTATTTTCAATTTCTAGCAAAAGAAAGGGATAAAAGTTGTCCTTATCTTGCACCAATCCGTGAAGACTTACACCAACTCTGCGGGTATCGCAAAATCTCTCTAAATGGAAATTCGCTGTAACGAAGTTTCCTCGCTTTCCTATATGCCTCAACACGTTGTCCCTAGTAGACTGATGAGCATGCACACGGAAACGATTCCGCTTTCTGCTCGTCACTGCGCAGGAAGGGATCGAGATAATTCTTGAGAATTTCACACATTGCTCATTGTCAGTCGAATTAAAACAGTTATTTGTTAAGATAGTAATTGAAAAAATTCGTGTCACTTAGTACTAAAAAAAATTGTACAAAATAATTGTTTTAATTTCCTACAAATAATATTAAAAAGTTGCGCCAACTAAATAAAAATTTTTACTATAAAATAGACATATTTCTTTTTTATTTTCAGTATTAAAAGAAAAATGATATTAAATGAATTGTAATATATCTATTATAAAAAATCGAATTGAAAATATGAACAATCATATACATTGCAATAATCATATGCATATATCCTGAAAAGTTTAATTTAAAAAAAATAGAAAATGCTAATACAAAATACAAAATTGAAAATTATTAAAAAAATTAAAAATTAGAAATTAATAAATGAAAAATAAAACTTTATATAAAAATTAAAAATTAATACATATAAAAAAATTTTAGTTAAAAAACTTAGCGCTGCTAATTTCATTAGCACATTATTCAGCGTAGGAGCGCTAAGTTTTATATTAAAATTTTTTTATACGTATTAATTTTTAATTTTTATATAAATTTTTATTTTTTATTTATTAATTTCTAATTTTTAATTTTTTTAATCATTTTTAATTTTGTATTTTGTATTATCATTTTCTTTTTTTTATAATTAAATTTTTTAGGATATGCATATGATTATTGCAATGTATATGATTGTTCATATTTTCACAATTCGATTTTTTATAATAGATATATTACAATTCATTTAATATCATTTTTCTTTTAATAATGAAAGTAAAAAAGAAATATGTCTATTTTATAATAAAAATTTTCATTCAGTTGGTGCAACTTTTTAATATTATTTGTAGGAAATTAAAACAATTATTTTGTACAATTTTTTTAGTTAAAATATTTAAATTTTTTATTTTCAATTAGTAATTTTTGTATATCATTATTTTTTTTAGTTAAAATATTTTAAGTTTTTATTTTTAATTAGCGTAATTTTTGGATATCATTATTTTTCTAGGTTATAATGTAGAAAATTAAAACAACTATTTTGTATAACTTTTTTTGGTTAAAGTATTTTTATAAGTTTTTATTTTCACTTAGCGCAATTTTTTTGATATCATTATTTTTGTTGATATACAATACAGTAGTTTTTTACAGTTAATAATACACTATTTTGCAAATACATATACTGTTTTTTACGCGGACTTAGCACCTTTTTTTACCTTTTTTTTTAAAAGGGTAATTTTTTAGGGATATCACTCTTTTTTGTACTATATGTTAAACATCTTTAAATAAATGAGCAAAGAATCCGCCATCACCCCCGTCATATTTCATTATAATTGACGGTCCTCTTTGCTTACTATATAGATATTCAGAACTTTCAAACATCTTTGCTATTCTTATTGCAAAAATAACGGATAACTACAAATCAATATGTCATTAGAAACCGTACACCTCTTTTCTTTCAAAAACTAAGATTTTAGAGAAAAACGTTTTCGACAAAAATTGTATGGTTTTGAGGAGAACATAAGATGATGTCATTGGTTTGACCTTGGATGGCATCGTTAAGGTCAGGTCAAGGACATCTTTAATTTCTTAAATGGAACCACCTATTTTTTATCCCATATTCTTATAGCTTATGTCGAGAGCTTTCCAAAACACTGTAATAAAGTATTTTTGTATTGAGTACTTTTCGATTTATAAGGCTTAAAATAATATCGTAATTTTACATAAACTATAAAATATCTAATAAAATATTTATTTTTTGATTATCTTACCTTGATACTTTTATGTACAAAATAATGAGAGGAATAAATTAGTGTAAAAAAAACACACAGTTGTTTTTAAGAAAAAATATGTAATTGTTAATTGCAAATTACATATTTTTTCTTCGGAACAATTATGTGTTTTTTTTTACACCAATTGATTGCTCTCATTATTTTGTACATAAAAGTATTAAGGTAAGATAATCAAGAAATAAATATTTTACTTGTGAACAACTTTGTACGCTTGCGCATTGGGGACTTGAGCGTTGACCAAGGAGACGTTTCTTAATGAAAATTTTTCATATTTCGACTTTAGATCATAATATTGCTGTTCACGATGCATAGAGCAAAAATAAAGACACTTTTCTCATATAAATCAAGCTCAAGCTATCAATTAAGCCTAGTAAGAACTCGATCCATTCAGCGATTATTTCAATATGATAATCTCGAATATCTCCAACTATCCGACTCGCATAAATATACACGGAGCGTATATCTTGTTGCTTACGCGGGACTTAGCACAAGACACTACTCTGTCTCTTGACATCGGTAAAGTCATTGTCAGAATGCACTGCGACACATAAGTACACAAGCTTATCTCGTAGTAGTTGATGTAACATCTGCGATATTCAGCAATATATTTTTCTCTAGCAAGCCTACCATACCAAATATCATACTTTTTACATTAGCTGCTACAAGGTAAGCTTCTGTTCATATGTGTCACGGTGTATTTCAACAATGACAAAAAATATATATATATATACTTTTTTATATAATAAAATGCAACAATTTTTTATAAATGTATATGGTAGATTTAAAAATATAATATTAAATATGTATTATTTAATATAATATTGTTTTTTAATGTCATACAGCGTATATAAAACATTCTTACTTATTCATAATTAGATGTTTCAGATGGAGCAAAGTTAAACATGACATTTCGAAATTGATAAGATGAAAACGCCTACAAAAGTTTAATTATGCAATTTTTTCTAGTTGCAACAGGTTCTACAAGTTTTATGAATATGATTATTTCAATATTGTAAATATGATTATTTCTCTTCTCTGACATTGAATAAGTAATCATTAGTGTAATATTATCGACTATTAATCACTTTACCAAGAAAAACTTTATTCCTATCTCCAAATTATTATCATATTAAATACTCTACATCTTATATTGAACCACATTAATCGGCTTTGCCAAGAAACTTCTAATTAAAAATTTTTTACAGAATAAATCAAAATTATATACAGAGATGCTATATCTGTGGAAAAATAATAATAGCAATAAATACAAATGAATTGGAAGGAATAAAATTAAGATAGGTTTAAGTCAGAAAACGCAATTGATTTAAACGATTTCAATTATAGCATGTAATATGTTG